GAATGGCCTAAAAAGGTATGTAGATGGAGATTTTTTAAATGGCTGATGATTGCTAGAATATGAAAGAATCATTGAACCTATTAAAATATTCACTGTTGGAAGATCATAAGCAACATACTGTTTTGGATTTTGGTGGGAGTAGAGGCAGGGGGAATTGAGTAGGACTGAGATAATGAGCAGACAGCAAAATGTTGAATGTATAACTCATAAAGCATGCTAGTTTGACTGGGTACCTTCATAGCTTGCAGCTAAATGTGGTGAAGCACATTATTCATAATTTAGAACCTGACGTTCCCTGAAAATGTAAAGTGACTTTTAAAAATGTGATTTCACAGAGCTAAATGAAAGGCCAGTTCAAAGTGCATTAAGGAATAAGGATGTGTAGCTGGAAATCAGTGAGCTTCTTTTCACTGCAATAAATTTATAATGTTATTTTGGTGTAAGCAAATACCACATCAAGAGAATAATAGTAATTTCCTGCATTCAGTGTGTCTGGGGCTCACCTTGTCTAAAATGAACCCTGTAAACACAGGTGGTTGGGCTCCTTGTGAGGAGTAAAAGAGACAACTGTATTGCTCAGGAAAAGTTCACTGCCAGTGTGCTCAGATGGCTGGTTTGGGGTAGCAAGAATTGCCCTCTGGAGCTGCAGTATTTTTTCATTGATTATACAAGAATCTGGCTGTCAATAAAACAGGAGCCAGGGACTGCCACGCACTGCAGCTGCTTCCCAGCTCCTGCGTGTTGCACATGACCTTCTCCCAGTTGTATTCCACCAGTATACTGTGCCCTCCTTTTTCCTTTCCCTCACTACCTCACAGTGTGGTTATCTGTTAGCAAGTGGTCTGGAGCTATAGTCTTGCCACCACCCTTCATTTCTTCCATGCTTCCATGTCAATGTCCCACTTGTATACCACCTCCTTCTCCTCCTTCGATATTCACCTTTGGGTGAGTTCTTTCCCTCCCTGGTGTGAGCTCTCATTCAGTGATGCACAAGAAGAGCAGAAGATAGGTGTCCTGACTCTCCTTTCCCATGTCCTCCACACCTGGCCACATTTGTGGTCTTCCCTCATTCCAGTGTATGAAGCTTTTGTGATGATCGTGTAATGGTCTTGTGCTTTCTCAGTGTAGCAGAGAAAGGCTCTCCTGTAGCATAGGCTGTAGTATAACCCTTCCCCACCCTGACATGCATGCATAGCTGTTTTGGGGGACTCATGGGCCCCCATGGGTCAGACTGGTACTGGCATGGAGCAAGACAAGCAGGCAAGTTCTGGCTTCTGCAGCCACAGCTGTGCAGCCTCAGAGCTGTGGAACAGCAGCTGGTGAAGCTTCCCTAGTACTTGCTGTCTGAGGCATGGCAGCAGGGCCTCGCTTGATGGTTGAAAAATACCTTCCAAGTTCTGTGGAAAACTTGTGTTTTCCCATAGGCCTTGTAACCACATTGAAGTCAGGCAGAACTGTTGACTACAGATGATGTCATCAGTGTGGTGCACTCATTCCTGAATGCTTCCTCTTGTCAGCTCGTGTTTGCTGTGCCCGGAATGACTCCTGGTTTGCTTCCATACCCAGTGGACTGAGCTTTTAATTTATTGTGTCTAAATTTTTTAGTAGGGATGTCATGGAACAGCACTGAATCAACATCTCGCTGAAACCTTGAGAGTTTCTACTCTTGTGCATGTTATACTTCTCCTGCAAGACCAGAGTTTCATTAGGCTCTAAATCTCAGCAGATTTTATATGCACATTTCCTTTGAGAGAACTGTCAGATTTTATTTTGAGGTAGACTGATCAAAGCTAAGATGAGTTTAGAATAATAATATTTACAAATACTGGAGTGAGAAGCATTTCATGTTATTGAGGCATGCTCCAGAGAAAATGCCGAGTGACATAAATACTGCAAGGCTGCTGTTCCATTGTCTAAATGCTTATAAGCAAAAAACCCCCAAACTTTATGAAAACACTCAGCAGGTTTTAATCAGATGGTCTTATGTTCTGAGATCAGACAGGCGTGCTCTCCTCAGCTAACCTTGGGCAGTGTGGTAGCACAGGTGGGCTCTCTGCCTTTTTTCCTGTTGGTCAAACTTTTTTTTCCTGAGAGGAATGATGTAGTTTGGTCTGTGTCAGACAGGAGTCCATTAGATACTTTTAGCAAGACACACATATATATGCGCAGGAGTGTTTCCAGTTTTCTAGTTGTGCACAAGGATGAAAGCAAATATCCTCCATCTCTTGCTGGGAGGGTGGCTGATAAACACATCCTTCCTCTCTCCAGCAGCCCCAGCCAAATTGTGAAGGCCTGAAACTAGTCTGGGAGCAGGAGCTTTTGCTTCTAAATCATTTGTAGATATGTTGTCAGAACAGTAAAGTAGTATCATTATTACTCTCCATCTATTGTCTTTAATATTATTCTGTTGCCTTCAATGGAATGCTCTTACCAGGAAGCTCTTTCATTAAGAAACGATGTATGTTTGTTTGTGCCTACATACAGTGATAGATGGAGTGGAAAATAACAAAAGCTTTCTGTTAGGACTGACATATAGGATGCAATGGTTAGTGTGGGCTGGGTGGTGGTCATGGGGGATATTTTTGGTACAGTGAAGCTGGAGAACGTGAAGTGAGCATATTGACACATACTTGCACTTGAGACTTGCTTTGGATGGCATTGTGTCAGATCAAAAGTGCTCTGTCTAGAAAAATAGATGTCTTTTTTCTTCCCTTGCCTTCTTTGTATCCTCTTACTTAGCATTTTGGTATGAATTACTCTAGATACTCCAAGGTTATGGTGAATGCCTGAAAAAATGATGATGTTAATCTGCAGTTGTTCTTGATGTGTTTTCTGCAAGTATTCATGAGGCTAATGTTTGCTACAGCAAACATTAACAAACAGTTAATAAAATGATCTGAATGAACATTGCTTCCTGGTGGCATAGGTCTGTTAGAGGCACTGTGAGTGTTGGGCAAAAACCTGCTCAGCAAGTTCTTGGAGAAGTGAGCTTGGCTCTTCTCTTAGGACATTCAAAACCAGCCAGCACCGAAGGGTTCGGTCATTGTGTCCTGCATCACCAGGATGACAACAGTGCCGTGGTGGCACATATGTTAAATAAATTACCTTTGGAAAGATGCTTTCTACTTTGGGTTGTGGCTGAAAAATAGGTATTACCCTAAGTGGAAAAAACCTGTCCATTTATTTTTTGTTATCCCAGTGAAACAGAGACCAAACTGCCTAGTGAGACATCTGGGATGGGGGGGACTGGTCAACAGGACTGTCAGCAGGACCAGGGAGGTGTTTCTGCCCCTGTACTTGGTGCTGGTGAGGCCACACCTTGAATACTGTGCTCAGTTCTGGGCCCCTCAGTTCAGGAGGGATATTGAGGTGCTGGAGCAGCTCCAGAGAAGAGCAGCGAGGCTGGTGAAGGGACTCGAGCACAAGTGCCATGAGGAGAGGCTGAGGGAGCTGGGGGTGTTCAGCCTGGAGAAGAGGAGGCTCAGGGGAGACCTTATCACCCTCTACAACCCCCTGACAGGAGGTTGTAGTCAGGTGGGGGTTGGTCTCTTCTCCCAGGCAACCAGCAGCAGGACAAGAGGGCACAGACTCAAGCTCTGCCAGGGGAGGCTTAGGTTGGATATTAGGAGGAGATTTTTTATGGAAAAAGTAGTCAGGAATGGAATGCCCAGGGAGGTGGTGGATTCACCATCCCTGCAGGTTTTCAAGCTGAGACTGGATGTGGGTCTAGTAATGACAGTAGGGTTGGACTCGATAATCTTTGAGGTCTCTTCCAACCCAGTTGATTCCATGATTTTATGATTCTATGACTGAGCAGCTTCCCACTTGCAAGTAAGCTGTTGGTATGGACACTGTCTGGAGATGCCAGGACCCGGGCTCAGGCTCAGGTTTGGGCCAGGTCAGCTGATCTGCCCACCTTTATGGTTTTCTTTTCTTGGTTACTGCTGTTTCATTTTGGTCTAGCAGTTATTTACTGGGCTGAAAGGGAAGGGACCAGTCTGTAGGTTGAGTGCAAGGGCATTTATTTGGGGTGTGATTGATCTCTTGTAACAGTGGGATTTGTGCAATTTAATGGGTTATTTTTTCTGAAGTGAGTGTAGATTTGAGTTTCAGGACCTCTTGAGTTAAAATAGGTGTATTTGTCCAAGGAACAAAAATATTTGATTTCAGTGATTGGTCTTTATATTCAGAGACTGGTTTTTTGCAGACTTGCTGGTGAGCTGTAATTTACAGTATTTTCTGCAGGTGTGGATTTAACGGATGGGCTGATGAAAAGAATCCTTACAATCAGCAGAGCTGCGGCTCTGGGAGCTAATATTGGGCTAGAACATCTGGTCTTTACAGAGGGAAGGCTTTCTGTGTGTGGAGGGATGTACTTGCTCTTGCCTCCTCCAAATTAACTTGCCAGCTCTGTTAGAGTAGCACAGGGAGGGCTGGACCAGCCTCAGAGCCTCCCAGCAGGATGCTTGGGCTAAGCCCATGTGAAATGAGAACCCAGGACTTGAGCCTGCTGCGTATCAAGTGGCATCCAGAAACCCTCAGTCCCTGGTGTTTTGTATGACAGGTCTGTCAGTGAACATTCTGGTTTCAGTGTGTTGTGCACAGATGTACATAGCACCACCTGGCATGGCTTGAAAGGGCCATGGGATGTAGTAACTATCTTGCAAAATTCACAGTAGAAATTAGCCTTGACAGGTGTAACAAGACTATATCCCAAGTCCCCCCTTGTACCTCTTCTATTTCATGGTATTTTTCCCTGAAAAAACAAAAGTGCACTAAGGATGGATTCAGAGCTGCCATCCAGAGATGGATGGATATAATCCGTGGCTTTAAAACTAGCGTAATTGTTGTCAACTGCCTTGTGGGTATGGTTGTAATATCCACTGATTTTGTAAACAGTTTTGACAGTGTTGTTTGCTGAATAATTTCTTAGCATAATAATTTTTCTGCCACTAATTACAAGCATCTTGGTAACCCTAGGCTTTGTTTTCTTCTTACAGCAAAGAGCTCCAGGAAAAGTTTTGCATGATGCTGTTTGTAGCCACCTGAACCTTGTTGAAGGCGACTATTTTGGCCTTGAATTTCCAGATCATAAAAAGATGATGGTATGTAAAAGAACTAATTTTCAGCTGGTTTTCATCTGCATGCGTGCTGTATTCTCTCCTGCTGCACCTTCCTTGTAAGATATATTTAATCCTCAATCTCCAAAAGGAAAAGGACTTTAAAAAAACCCTCGCAGTTCTTGCCTATTGGAGTTGAAGAAATGTTTTTAAAACCTGATTGCTGCTGTCAGATTTCATCTGTGTCGAAAGTAACAGCCAATTCAGACAGAAGTTGGAAAAGCATTTTGTTTTTATAAGTTGCTGTAGAGAAGCCAAAGGCTGGACTGTTGCAGAGCCCCAGCTCTTGATTTTACAGTCCTGCTTGATTTGGAGTGCAGAAATAATCTTTCTCCACTGACAGAGAAGTTGCAATGGTTGTGACAGAGTTCATGAAAAACATTATAGGGCAAGAAAAGGGATAGAGAAAATATAACAAGGTTAATAAAGAGGAAAGCAAACCCAAAAAAACCAAATAAATTGATGGAAGTCTATATAGGGAGATGTGTGGCACAGGCAGGTGTCCTATTCCCATTGTTCCAGACTCTAAGATGAGCTGCTGCCAACGTTCAGGCATTGCACTAGCAGTATTGCATAGCAAAGAAATCCAAAGGCTTCCTAGCCTGTAATTACTTTCTGTTTTGAAGTTTGTTTTACTTTAGACTTACCATGTAACTTACTGGCATGTGTGCTAGTTGTCTGAGTTTCTTGACCAGTACATTCTGATGTACGTTGGATTTCATGGCTGTTTGGTGAATTTTGCACCAGTAGCCTGGTGACCTAAAGGAGGTGACTTGGAGCAATTAGAAAAAAATAATATCTGTTTTCTGTCCATCTAGCTAAAATATGCTTAAGGAGCAATATTTCTTAATGAAATAAACAGTAATCTCTTGTCTGTTGTGCCTTAGTATGGGCTCACATAGACCTTAAAACTGAGCACTAGTGGTCATGGTGGTTTAGGCTAGCTATAATTAAAGAGGAAAGTTTTAAAATGGATGTCAGTCTTAGAAGTGATCAGCTTTACAGTTTGCTCCTGGAATTACATGAAATACAGTTTACTAGAAAGTTTAGTGTTTGGCCAGATATACTTGGTTAATGCTTTAGGTAACTTGAGAGCTGAACATAACTCTTCAAAACAGTGCAACTTTACAGCACTGTTACAGCAGAGGGTCCATGTAGCCATGCTAATAATGAAATACTGACATTCCTGATGTACTTATGTAAAACCCAAACAAATCCTAACATTCTTTGTATATACAGTGGCTTTTTAGTTTTTTAAAAAATAGAGCAGGTCATTTGATCAACCTTCTCTACTTCACAGGTCATTAAGTTTCAAATATATGACCCTCTGTGTTTTGCTCAGAGACCTGGAGTAAACTAACAGTTTTCAGTCTTGTGAAAACAAAATGGTTTATTTGCTTGAGGCAGAACACAGGAGAGATTGAGGTGCTGCCACTGCCTGAGGCCCTTGCAGTGCTGGGAATGGACTGACTGGAAATATGTCAGACAATCACAGTGGGGGAGAGTGCTCCGATGAACAGAAAGGTGGAGAGAACCCCCTAAGGCTGTTGCCAGTTTGACTTGAAGGAAAATGCCTCCATGCATTGAGCATGGTGACACACTTGGCCCCTACTCTTGCAAAAAGAAGTAATATCCAAGAGTCTGAGAGCACCAGTCCATGTTCTTGCTGGTTGTTGCAGTCTTTACTTCTGAACAAATGGGGAAATCCACAAACCTTGCCCATATTTACTCGGCTGTGCCCCAAGAGTGGTGAGATTCAGTGGAACTAATGCCTTCAGCCACCTGAAAGCAACTCACGGAAACTCTGAAGCAGAAGATTTGATTATGAATTGTTGTTTTGATGTGGAACAGCACTCTGAGAGTGTTATTTACACTTAAATTATTGTAACCAGTTTATGTGATGCAATTGAGGTGAATGTCCCTGTGGGATTTAGAATTCTCTGAGCTTCATAATGGCCATAATGCAGAACTCAATCATTGTGCAGAATGAAATAAAATTGCAGTTAATGGTGTGTCTGAGAAATAAAACACACATGCATATTTTACATTCATATCATCTGAAGAGAATGACTTGCTTTCCCAACGTAGAGTGCAATGTAAAAGGAAAAAATAAATATTTAGAACGTATTTGTTTGGATGTAATCATGAAGTCATATATTCACAGTTCAGCTGTGTTTGTTTCAACATGCAAAGCTCCAGACTTCATATCTGGCATACTGACAGTTGTATGTCAAGATGCCTGGCAGCTGTAAACATTGAAGCATGCCATGCTTGCAGCAGACAGGATCTGCATGGGAGATGCATGTGGAGGGTCTGAGAGCAGCACTTCCTGCTGGGAAGGAGGAAGGAGACACTGTTGCCAAGCCTGGGGTTTCGCAGCGTTTCATCACACTCGATGCCTGGCCCAATTCTCCAGCTGCTGAAATCTGGTCACCAGCATGGCATGCCAGCCTTTGTTTAACAAATAAATAATCTAGCCTTTGTAATTCTGGAGAAAATTGAAAACATAAATCTTAATTGAGTCCTCACATTATTTTTCATTTCCAGTTTATAAACCAGTCTCAGATCGACAGTGTTTAGATACAGTGTGGGAGTTGCATGATGCAAAAGTTTTGGCCGCTTGGGTTTCGTGCTAGGGGTAACATCTTCATTTTGCTCCACCTTTCTCCCTATATGCATTCAATACCTGCATTTGTGGTATACAGCAGTCTATTCAAGGATATTAATACTTGCTTATAGGATGTGTGCTTATACTGTATCATAAATTCTCACTGAGAAGAAGAGATAAATGTGCTGTTGTTGTTGTCAAGGAAAATACAATTTTCCCATAATCGTGTAAATTGGCTACTTCATATTCATTATGTCTTTTTTTTTTCCCCCCACTAAACTTGGCAAAGTCTCTGACCTTGGTAGCAAATTATGCACATGCAAACTTTCTGAGACAAAACTGTTTCAAGTTACTGAAGTGTTAAATATTGTCAGAACCAGTTTAATATGATAAACACTCTTCCTATTCTTGAATTACCCAAGTTTTCTTAGCCCTCCTGAACAAAAATAAAAATAATTTCCTAAACTGGGAAACATAAGATGAATTCCATCAAGAAACATTAGTGGGTGTGAAAGGGCAGGAGTGTGAGCTCTTGGTTAATTGGAAGCACTCATATTAGTAATGATAAAATGGCACACAGCATTGGAGCCGTTACAGCAGCCACACAAGCCTCTTCCTGTCTGGCTTCTCAGGTGATTTTAGAAAATGGATGTTTTGAGTATGTTTCAGTCTCTGCATAATCTAAAATTATTAAAGGTCGAAGAAGTAATCATTTTAATATATACTCTTTTTCTAGACGACGACTCGGTTAATTTGTTTTTTAATGGCTTTAACCTTTGTGCTGGTTGTAGGGTGTTCTTCCACAAATTCCAGACATCTCCAAGGGAGGCTCTGTGTAATTTAGTGAGATAACAAAATACCCTGTGCATTGGTTCACCCTCCACCAGCTGAGGACTGTGAGCTGTCACACTTCTCCAGACCCTGTGAATCATCTGGTTTTTACCTTCTGCGTGATTGTCCCTTGGCTTTCTGTAACATTTTGCCCAGGCCTTTTTGACCTGAGACTGCAGTATGGGAGTTTAGTCTCTGAAAACTGTATTTCCACCCACTGCTTCTCTTTCGAAAGCTGAAGGAAAGACCCACACAGTGTCCTGAGAAAAAAACCCAGAAAGTGGACTATATGCAGAAGCTACCCTGTTTCCTATTAAAAAAGCCTTGGTCTGAGCTTCCCAGGTTTATAGAAAGGAGAGGATGTTCCACAGCTCAAAAGCAAGCTTTCTCCCAACCATACCTTGTGCTGTTGTCTGCCTCACCTGTGACCTGAAAGGATATTCCTCCCACAGGTGGTGCGAGGGAAGCTCACTTATCTCCACAGAGCCAAGCAAGGGAGCTCCACATTTGTGCCCAGACCTCACAGTGGGACTCCTGTTGAGTCCCCAAAACCAGGAGACTGTCACCTGCTCATTTCTCTGTTTGCCCAGTCGTCCCAGCAAAAATGCTAGCACCAGCCCCTTTCACTTGAATTTCTCAAGATGAATTAGGGTGAGGACCACAGTGACAGTACAGGACTGTCTTTTTCGAAGCTCCTCATTTCCCTTGTCATTTCCACAAAATGAATGGTTCCTGACCACATGTGCTGTGATTTTTGGTGTCTGAGACAAGTGAGGGGGAGACTTCCTCACTGTTTCCCAGCTCTCTGAATCTGTTTTGCTTCAAAAGCTGGGCCCATTAACAGTGCTGTTCCCTGGACATCTTCCAGAGTTTTGGAAGAAAAGGGAGGGGGGAAATGAGGAAAACCACAGTGTATAATTAAAGAAAGCATAATGGCCACACTGGAAAAAATACATAAGTAACTGATAATCTAAGTATTGCAATTGCAATTGCAAAAATGCTTCTCTGGAAGTTTGTTCAGAGATGATAACCCCACCTTCTTTTGTTTCCAGGTGTGGCTCGATCTTTTGAAGCCTGTTATGAAACAGATTAGAAGTAAGTACTTCCTTATTGACATTTCTTTCCTCAGTCTGACAGTACTTGGACAAATGGGGACTCTGTCAGTTGTGATCTTTGCAATCTCAAACTTCTTCACTGAATTTTGTTTGGATTGTTTTTTACTTCTGGTCTGTCCTTAGAAGACAGACTGTGCATGCTGTGAAGTTATGTCACACGTACAGATGAAGGAGCTATAACCCCTTAGGAGGCTGAGGTTTAGTCAGTCACTAGAAGAGGCACTGGGGGCAGTGGACAGAACGAACAATTTCGTAGAGAAAAAGTGCAGTAAAAGAAGGATTAAAGGAAGCATACACTGCTAACAGGTAGCAGTAATTGGGATAAAAGAAAAAGAACAGGAAGATGTTATTATTGGGAAGGAGCTGGCAAATGTATTACAACTGTGTGGGACATTGCTGCAGAACCTGAGACAGACCAAGAGGAGACAACAGTTGTGATAGGGCCTTCAGGGAAAGTTATGATGGGTATTGGGAAAGGACTGGAAATTGTAAATACCCATCAGCTCTGGGAAGAGTAGAAGTGAACAGGAAAGGTTTTGGTTTGTTTCTCTGTCAAATATCAGCAAAGTTAATAATTTATTGAGCTTTGCCATTGAGGTTAAGTTTTCTTAGGTGCCTCTCTGGTCATATTAGTCTGGGTGTATGCTCTGGCACCTCTCCCTCTCACAAGACAGAGATGCATTGGTCCTTTTGTCACTGGTCGTACTTAGAAAAGTTGGAATAAACATGCTGCTGTTAAAATAGAAATAATAATTTGCTAGTGGACCTGAAAAATGAGTGTATTTTAGCTCCCTCCTGTTCTGAAGCAAGGAAAATAGACATACATAATATATTTTATTGGAATGAGTGATGTAATTACTAAACACAGACATGGTTTCGGCAGAGTAGCCCTCGACCAAGTTACTGTTCTCTTTTATTGCATGTAAATTTTATAGGGCAATCTCTAAATATCCTGCATGCTAACAAAGGACAGGAGGTTGGCATGTCTGTACACACTGCAGGTTGCATGAATCATCCCTTGCACATCATTGTGCATAATAACATTTGGTTGGCGTGTCACTGATGTTTCCTAACTTCCTTTGACATTTCCCCTAGGACCGAAGCATGTTGTTGTAAAATTTGTGGTAAAATTCTTCCCACCTGACCACGCTCAGCTGCAGGAGGAACTGACAAGGTTAGTAACTGTGTGACTGCATTTTCTTGTTAAGTCTCTGGTGGACAGAGGGAAGAACATGGAATTTAGGATGACTGGTTGAGGGTCGATGACTGCCTCTTGGTATTAGCTTGATAATATTTGTCCCAGCTGTGAATGCACCTGCAAAAAGGGCCCTAAGATTCAGTTGCAGTCTGTGCTGAGAGGTTCTTCAAAAGTGCAGTTGTCCTTTGCACCCTTGGATTTGGAGTCCTGGGAGAGCTTTACTTTTTTACTCTTTACCAAGAGGAGTCAGTTTGGCAACAGAGTTCTCTAGGCCCCTTTGGTGGTGATGTTGGAAGGGATCCAAGTCATGTATTGGCACCCTGGGGCACCCCTCTGTGGAGGGACATGTGTGACGGCACCCAAGTTTGGGAGAGCTGTTGTACATGAATTACCAGTTTGCAGTAGCTTTGGACCCTATTTGTATAGCCAACTCAAATGCCAAAGGTTTGCACAGGTGGAAGTGTTACTTCAGAGATGGAGAAACGGAAAGGAGAAGGAATAAGAAGAAAGACAAGAGGGAGGCAGAGAAAGATACACATATATGCAGACAGAGTACCTTAAATGCTAATGCTTAAATGCTTTTCAGTGCATTTCAAACACTTCATTTAAGTGCTGAATTTTACACTGCATTGGCATGAAGAGTCATATTTCTCTGTGAGTAAATACGTGTATGAGGGACTCGTTAAGGTTCTTTCTCACTAACAGGTCCTTCCTTTATGGTCAGAAACATTGTTTCGTTGCAATATTACTAGTTTTTAATTACATGTTTCCGTTCTGATTCTGTATTTTCACAATTGGTTTTTAATTTCAATCTGCTCAAAAGACAAAGTCCTCTTTTACAAGGACCTGCATTGTAAGGAACAAGTCCACTTTTGTGATGTTCACTGTTTATCTTTGTCATGTTTTATTGTAGTAATAGAGCATTGGAATGGAAAAAATAAGTTATTGATATTGCTTGATAGCCTGGAAAGAGAAAAGTAGAAATGTGGGATAGGAAGAAGGAATATTTACTTGAAAGATTGAATAAGAAGAATAAAGGGATAAATGAAAACATCAATGTGATGCTATTAATGAAACATTTATGTTTCTGAATAGATATTCTGCATATCAGTTGCTTAATATGTGAACCGTAAATTGATTTTTGGTGATCTCTTTCTGCACCTGAAGATGTGACTCTGAATTCTAATGACTTTTTTGGTTAGATTTTAAATATGTATGCTAAGGGACTTGAGTATATGTATACAGCAGTGTGTAGGATATGAAAGCAAATCCACAGGAGCAGCTTCATCACTTGAAGAAGAAGAGAATAGAACGTTTTTGTGCTATATTCTTCTACCAGAGTGAATTTTTGTATGGGTAGGCAGATGTTTGGGGGATGGCCTGGCCCAGAGAGTTGTGGTAAATGGAGCTAAATCCAATTGGTGGCTGGTCACTGTTGGTGTTCCCCAGGGCTCAGTATTGGGGCCAGTCCTATTTAGCATCTTTACTGGTGATCTGGACATGGAGATTGAGTGCACTCTCGGTAAATTTGCAGACAACAATAAGTTGGGTGGGAGTGTTGATCTCCCTGAAGGTACAGAGAGACTGGCTTGATCAATGGGCTGAGGAAAACTGCATGAGGTTCAGTAAGACAAAGTACTGGTCCTGCACTTGGGACACAACAGCCCCATGCAGCATTACAGGCTGGGGGAGGAGTGGCTTGAGAGTTGTTCATCAGAAAGGGACTTGGGAGTGCTGGCTGACCTCATTGCTCTCTGCAACTACCTGAAAGGAGGTTGTGGAGAGATGGGGGATGTTCTCTTTTGCCATGCCTGCAGTGAGAGGACTTAGAGGGAACAGTCATAAACTATGATAGGGGAGATTAAGATTAGGTATTAGGAAATTTTTTTTTCCCTGTTAGGGTGGTCAGGCATTGTAATAGGTTGCCCAGGGAGGTGGTAGAGCCACAGTCCCTGGAAGTGTTTAAGAGGTGTCTGGATCCAATGCTGGAGGATATGGTTTAAGGGTTACTGTAGAGAGGGAGGTGAACGGTTGGACTTTCTGATCTTAGACATCTCCTTCAACCTTGGTGATTCTTTGATTCTCTTCTGTGATTCTATGTAGTCAAAACCAGAGTTGGTATTGAAATACTTTTCCATCTTTACCTCCTGCTTTGTGTAACTTTTTGTTCACTTTTGTTTTGCAGGTACCTATTTGCATTGCAAGTGAAGCAGGACCTGGCACAGGGAAGGCTAACGTGTAATGATACCAGCACTGCCCTCCTAATCTCACACATAGTACAGTGTAAGTTTCCCTTTTTCTTCTTTCTAGGAGGATAAACAGAATAAGTGGTTGGGCATGCTTTCCAGGGTTACCTGTTAGTAGCTGCTGTAGGGACAGGTTTTAAGTCACATGGACAAGTTACTGTATTTCTTTATAATGTCATTCAAATACAGATAATTTACTATTTCAAATAAAGAGCAGCTTCTGGACACTGGATTTGCATTTTTAAAGCACAGCATTTGACAGGTTGCCAAAGATCACATAAAAAGTAGACTTTGCAGGCAGTGATAAACAGGTTGAATTCTTCTGAATTCCTGTTTTATTATCATGTCAACAGAGCATTCAAATTCCTGGAGATCTGTATGCTGTCTAGAGAATGTAGTAAATAAACATGCTTAGAATGCCAGACTAAATCTGAGTCCTAAGAGGAACTGATAGGGAAGAAAAGAAAACACCAAGGTTTTAAACCCTTTTTTAATTGCAAAATATGCACAATAAGACTGTTCAGTAGAATCAATCATGCATTAACTTTGTTTATAGCATCAAAGCTTCTTTTAGCTCCCACATCACTTGAAAGACAGTGTATGTTTTCCATTTCAAGACTTCATGGATACTCATCTTGAGAATAACATTAAGAAAAACCACTTCTTAGCAGATATAATGGTCATAATAGGCATTGTTTTGAATGGTCATTGTACAATTCAGTATTGCATATTTCTGCTGTGATGCTGTTGTATGGAAATTATAGTCAACAAAGATGTTAGTAAGCTCTTTAGAGATGAACAGTTAAATCTCATGATCCTTAGTCTGATAGAGTGCTGGGGCAGTTTCTCATCAGTGGCAGGTATTCCATAGCTCTCTTTTTGCCATGGTCATCACTGCCCAGTGTCACTGAATAGCAGTAAGAAGCTGTAAAATTTTGTATTCCTCATGCCATTTTAAAAGTGAGTATTTTTGCAGCACACACTTAAGAAAAATGAAATCCTTGGCTAGTGTGTTTTTTGTATTAGTTTTTCCCATTACAGTGTTTAGCACACCAACTGTACTAGTTTTTTCCTCAGTTAAGGTAGTTCTAACTTTCTTTCATCTCAGGGGTAAGAAAAGTCTTGATCATTTGGGGAAATTGAGTCTCATTTGCCACACTGCATTCTAGGGGGCTGAGATTTCCTACTAAATGTCTGTGCACCAAAGAAAGACTTTGAGTAGAGGACACCCTAATGTATGTGCCTCTCTTCATTTGAGATATTACTTCATTGTAATCCTCTCTTGAGCTCTTATACTTTATATGCATTGTTTTCCTTATGATCTCTACTTAGGTCCTAGCTCATGTCTTACTCATACCTTAGCAATTACTCTTCACTGAACCACCCACTGCTCTGCTGTCTGAGCTGCTCAGAGTGCAACTGTTAGCTAGTTTTTTAAAAAATAAAATACAGGATGTCCTTTCACCTTTGCAAGCTATCCCTTTCCCTCCTCTCCACAGTCAAACTTCAGTTTAATTCTGCAGTTTTTCAGAATTCCTCTGTTATACCCCTGACACACCTGTGTAGGCTGTTGAGGTGTGCAGGTGTCAGGGTGTGCAGAAATGGCAGATCATCACCATTGCTCCTGTGCTGCTGAAATGCATTATCCTGTTGGATTACATCATTTTATGCAGTAGCTGGAAGTGGTCAGGATGTATTTGAAATCCCTCTACTTCTTTGTCCCATTCACTTGTGAACTGGAGGTGCAAAGTGATTCTGAACTGGGATTTTAGGAATCAGGTAGTGCTCCTCTTCAGGGGAGAGCAGGGTAAGCTACTTCTGTACTGAAAAACAGAGTTTTTCATGGTTTCAGAAGAGGGGCAAGAGATTAATCGTGCAGAAGTGAGACAGTGTTCACAGAATCTGAACTGCCATTTTGGGCAGAGGGATGTTGTGCCTCATGGTGCACCTGCAGTGCTAACCCTCACCATCTCCTGGCTGCAAGCTGGCCTTTTCTTTTTGCTGTTTATGATTTTTCCCCTCTCCCTTTTTTGCCTAACAATGTTTGCTAAAAGCCTCTGCAGGATGTTTGCAACTGTCTCTTTTCTTTATCCATCTTGTGTCTCATGAACATTTTTCTGTGAAAATTTTCTCTGGTGGGAGTCTATAGCTGTATCTTACCCCATGGCTGTCTTTCGTACTTATTTTCTCTCTAGCTTATTATTCAGTAGCAGAAGAAATATTATGTATTTGTCTGCAACAAAAAATAAAACTAAATATGATAAGAGTAATGATATAAAGGTGGGAAGATTGAAAATGCAGGTTAGTTATTCTGTGCCTTAGTGATGCTGTGCCAGTGAGTGGTTTCCATGGGGAATATCTGATTCCAGGAGGCCTTATGTCAATGTTATAGGCTGTTACTTATCATAAAATCATAATATGACAGCAAATAGGTCTCTGCTACATAACCATGTATATTACAGAATGAAATTTATATTTGAAACATTCTATTTAAAAATACTTTAAAAGCATTGTAGAAAGTGTTAGAAGTGAGAGGATCCTTTAATACTGCAAGCAATGCAGTACAGTGAGTGCTTGAAGTAAAAAGATGGATTGAACATGAGCTAGCAGTGTGCCCAGGTGGCCAAGAAGGCTAGTGGTGAACTGGCTTGTGATAGTGTCACCAGCAGGACCAGAGCAGTGATTGCCCCCCTGTATGTGGCACTGGTGAGGCCACACCTCAAATCTTGTGTTCAGTTTTGAGCCTCTCATTTATAAAAAAGACACTGAGATGCTGGAGCAAGTCCAGAGAAGGGCAGTGAAGCTGGTGAAGGGTCTGGAGTGAAAGTCATATGAGGAGCAGCTGAGGGAGCTGGGGGTGTTTAGCCAGGAGGAGACTCAGGGGAGCCTTATTGCTCTCTACAAGTACCTGACAGGAGATTGTAGTGAGGTGGGGGTCAGCCTCTTCTCACAGATAACAAGTGATAAGACAAGAAGAAATAGCCTCAAATTGTGCCAGGGGAGGCTTAGATTGGATGCTAAGGGAAATAGGCTGCACTGGGAAGCAGTTGAGTCACCATCCCTGGAGTATTTAAAAGTCACATAGATGTGGCACCTAGGGACGTAGTTTAGTGATGGACTTGACAGTGCTGGGTTAACAGTTGGACTCAATGATCTCAGAGGTCTTTTCCAACCTAAGCATTTCTGTGATTCTGTGGTAAGAGGAAAAGAGCTGGAATAGAAAGCGTTAGGATATCAGAAGTGCTAATGCAGAGAGAGTACGGTGTCCAAGATAAGAGGAGTCATCAGTGTAAATAAATCTTTGGCTAAATCATGTGAAAAGATTTTAAAGAATAGTTATATGTGAGGCAGACAGTATTTCCCTCTCACTCGAGATGGAGTGCTACTAGAAAGACATTCACAGTGGAAAAGGAGGGTTAAGGAGGGAAGTAAAGTCTTGTTGAGTACGAGGTCAGAGAGAACAAAATCAGAAGTAACTTGAAAGCCAGGAAGACAATTTTCATAATGGATTGGCAGTTGGCAAATGCAGAGAACATTATAGAACTTGTGTAGAGGTGTGAGGTGAGAGTCTTCTGTACTCTCAGCTCTGAAGAAAGCCCTACAGAAGGTGTGTTAAGCTCCCCTGTGTACAAGGACATACAGGTTATGAAATGCATTTTAAAGAATCCAGGCCCATGTTATTGGAGGTGTTGCAAAGTTAGGTGGGCTTATGGCTTCATTAAAGAACAGAAACTTGCCTTTTGTTTGCGTTGGGATTAAAAACAGACCCTAAAGATTTGTGACTCTGGGATGAATAAGCGTGGAAGGAAGGAGCTTTTTCTGAGATGGGGACAAATGGCCCAATTTTAATAAGGGGAATTCTCAAAGGCTCTGTAGTATTTCTGCTGTCTCAAGGAATGATTGGGAGCATATGGGGTGAATGAGGGGGTAGAAATCAGTGTGTCTCAGGTATCAACTCTTTTCTGCCTCTGACCTCCAAAATATAAAATGGCATCATGTGTCTGCAGGCAATTTGGGTTGACTGCTCTGTCCTTCACAGAGGCTTTGGTTCCTCATCTTCACTGCCTACCCAGGGCTATTGCTCTCCCTCCTCATTTGCAGGTACATCTGATCCCAGGGAAATATTTGTCAGAAATCACTCACGGTGTTTTAAACATCATCTGAAACCTTTCCTTTGTCTAAACCAACTTATTTTGAATTTAACTGAATTGAGGGGTCATTTACATGGTCACAACAGAGGTGAGGATGAAGCAGGTGTATCTGAGCTTGGGTCTGTGTTATGTCAACTGTGTTACAATGTGTCAGACTATAACTTGCATTTAATTTGAGGCTACTGTGTTTTAATTTCATTTATGTTACCAAGGGAGCAGCCTTTGTTGCGGTGATGTTGCTCGTACTCTATCAGATTTGCAGGCAGAAGCTGCTCTGCTTCTTCAGTGAAAAAGCTAATAGCTAGATTTTCAGAGGCATTCCCAGAATAGCAGGCAACAAGATAGTAATTTGGCACCCACACATAGACTGCCTGCCCCTTGCCCCCCACACCTGCCAAAAAAAGCAAATCTCACTGAATGGGCTGCAAAATGGAAGGTGGGTGTGACATACTGTTGCACATATAATGTTGAATAACTGCAGCAGATGGGAGCAACTTTGAGGAGGAGGGAGGCAGAATGTGTCTCAAACTGCTGCAGAATTTGAGGATGACAAATGTTTCATAACCCCACGGAGTGCCATACAAGCCTGTGTTCAAACAAGCAAACAGAGCCATCTCTCAGATTTCCCCTCAAAGATTACAGTGTGGGACGTGGGGAGGAGCTTGTGCTTGGCTGCTCCATGGAAAGGCACCTGAGCCCCATGAGAGAGTGTGAGAGGTGGATGAGTTCTGCTGAATTAGTGCTGGTCTCTGTGTTACCCCTGCCCTTATCCCACACACAAGTCAAGGTAGCACTGACAGCTTCATTTGTTTGGTTAACAGCTACTTACTTGGTTGTGGTGTATGGGAGGAATCCTTGGGCTACTTGTCACATATCAGATACTAATACAGAAGAGAAGGGAGTAATGTGTGGAAGATAATGTAGTGGAAATCTGAATCATAAAACTGTGACACAGCTTGCAAGAAATTGTCTCTCTGCCCTCTTCCCAGCTGTCTGGACCTTATAGCTTGACCAGATAATTCAGATTTAATATAGTGTTTTAATAGACTTTTCTTAAAACTCTCCATAGCTGAGATTGGGGATTTTGATGAAACCATAGATCGTGAACACTTAGCGAAGAACAAGTATATACCTCATCAAGAAGCACTAGAAGACAAAATCATGGAATTCCACCGTAACCACATGTAAGACTCTTCTATTCTTGTTGTTGGCCTTCTTTTCCTGTAGAGTAGTTCTAACTGTAAGTATATGCTGGATCATAAGTATAAAAGACATTTCGATCTCTGAGTTTCTCAAAGGTTGCGTCTCAAAAAATGTTTAAGCCTAAGAACTTCCTGAAGGTTACTCCTGCCTTTCTCCCATCATCATAACAAGATGTTTAAAGTGCAGTTGATTTGATATTCATTCAAGCATGCTTTTATTTTACAGTCTATTTCATACAAAATGCTTCACTGCTGATTTTGTGCATGCAGGTATGATTGCAAATGATGACTGATCAGTCAAGCACTTCTGACAGCAGTCTTTTGGTTTCAAGGACATTGAATGTTGCCTTTTCACCTTTCCATGCTGTACTTCGAGATGGGTGAAGAAGGGGTTTAATGATAGTTTTAGGAAGAGTACTTGTAGAATTAGAGATCTGGGGGAACACGATTCAAGATGATGATGCAAATTGGTATCCTAAGATCTGGAGAAAAGACTAATAGTAAGAAGATGGTTAACAGAATTATGAATAAGGCATAGAAAGCTATTTTTTTTGCTGTCAAGAGCGCTTCAAGACTTGAACAATTTCATTTTGAACTCGACTGAGTTTTAGAGGAGTGGTAGTGATTTCTATAGCAGTAATAATCAACAATTTTGTATAATTTCGTCACAAATAATTCAGAGTTTATGGCTTCGCAACATTTATGGTAAGATTTTCATGTCTTCTGTTTTGCCACATTTTGCTATTACATTCACTTTTAGAATGAACAACATCCTTAGATGCTTCTATTTGTGATAAATTTTTTTTTTTGTAGGAATACAACATGTTTTCCACTGGAAAGGGAGGTAGTAAATTCTGTTAATGGTTCAAAATCAAGCTGTATCAGGTGTCTCAGAATTGGAGCAATCAAAATTTATAATAGACTGTAAAATCTGGGTATTCTTTGGTATTAGTTTAGACTGTGTTGTTGTTCTAACTGATATGTCTGCGAACATAGAAAAACCATGCAGACATTACACCTCTGACGGTTTTTCAGTCTCTTTGATCAAATGTCTCTTTGTTCTCTGGAGGACCTCTTGATCTCTATTAAAAGGTGTGACAAATTTGCGTGTCTTCTCTGTTTTCTTTCTCAAGGGGACAGACACCAGCAGAGTCTGACTTCCAGCTCTTGGAGATTGCCCGTCGGCTGGAGATGTACGGGATACGCCTGCATCCAGCCAAGGACAGGGAAGGGACAAAAATCAACCTGGCTGTTGCCAACACAGGCGTTCTGGTGTTTCAGGTTAGAGCTGCTCAGGACATGATTTTGTACTTCATAAAGCAGAGAGATTTGTGGCAGCTGCAAGAATTCAGGACCTCGGCCCTGTCTAGAAGTATTTCATTGGGAAAACTGAGGAACTTCCAAATTTTTTCTAACGATGACCTTAGAATTGTTATAGCTGCATTAGGTCGTTCATTTCCAGGGGCTCTTACCATATTTGCATGCACAGTGTAGAACTCCATCTGCAGCCACAATGTGCTGTTCAAGATGCAAACTGATCCACAGCTCACAATTTGCAAGTTGGTCATGCTGAAACCTAGATATAGGAGCAGGTAGATCTTGCAGGCGTGGTGCATACTAAATGGGTGTGAAGCAGAGACAAATAAAACAACAGTCAGCTGGAGTGCATGGAGAAGGATGTAGGTAGTGAATGTAAGCTCTCTGTAGCATTACTTTGTCAGAGATTTTACAGTTTTCTGTCCAGGACTTGGCTATTGTACCTTTGCTGAATTCATGAATCTTATTTCTTTCACTGAAAGATGCAAAGCATTTTCCTTATATTTCTTTCTTCTCCTTTCCTACCCTAGTCAGCCTAGTAAATGTTCATGAACTATCATTGTTAAATTTATCAAATTCTCATTCTGCAGTTTCCCTTAGATAAATAACAGATTGGGCTTTTACAATTGTGAAGGTGCAGGTAGTCAGCTGGTGTAAGCTGCTTTCACTTCACTCAAGATGAAAGCATGCTACTTACCTCACTGTGTTAAAAACAGTAAGTAAACTGTTCTTTAAAATATCCCTTTTTACAATTGTCAAAACAGACTATAAAAAGGCTCTTCAATTTAACAGTTTGACTGTAACTAAACTGCTAGTATTTCTAGCTTCATAAAGTACTTTGAGTCCTTTCGTAAAGAAAAATAACTGCAACAAACTAACCCAGAAATATCTGACCCAAATGCTCTGAGATCACAATTTAATAAAAAGAAAACAGCCAACCAAACAAGGAGCAAAATCCAAAAAATCTCATATCAACTAAATGGGTTGCTAGTAAAATCCTAAAATTGAAGTACAGATTGAAGTGCAAGAACACTAGGATGTTGTTGGAAAAGCACATAACTCAAGTAATTGCTTGTGCAGGCTCGTCCCCTGCTCCCCCACAGTATTTTCATCAGCTGAATTAATGAATTGCCAAGTCTTATAAGTTAGGACTGTCTTACAAGATGAAAGTATGTGTCCACACAAAATAGTGTGGACCTCACCAAGTCCCAACAGATGGCTGGAGTCCCTCCATAAAGGTGTTGCTGTGGCTGAAGGTCCAAGGCTTGATTTATCAAGCTTTAAAACTCAGTCATCTCTTCTTGACCTAATGTGTTTGAAAAGCTTGGAAATTTCTCCAGCTCAAGCTACAAGACCGAACACCAAAAAGGAAGTCAGGCTCTGACTTGTTGGAGTCTGCCCAGCAACTGGCATCTGTCAGTAGGCTTAGGGCTTCCTTCAAGCACTTCATAGGTCAAGAGTCTCAAGTTTATCATTTTATTTTGGATAGAACTGATAGAAGTTGAAATATGAGGCTCTCATTAGAATGACCACAAGGAAAACTCACAAATGGCATAAGCTGTAGTCAGACTTATTTTAAAGCCTGCCATTTATTTAGAAATCAGTGTCATTGCTGCTGATTATTCTAAGGGAGATTAATTATGTGATTCTTAGACAGCTGGTTGACTTAGCAGAGATCATTACACTGTCATTACTCCTACAGCTGTCTGGTGATGGCGCCCAAATCAGCATGGGTTTCTGCATTTAGCAGTCCTGGAGTAGTTCTCTCAAACTCCCGTGCTGTGCTGTAGGCGTGTTTGTATTGAAGTCTGTACTGAACAAACTGCTGTAATGAATATTTGCAAATAATAGCTCTGCTACCTGCTAACATAGATTAAGAATGAAACTTCTGGAAGGTAGGGGCTAATGATGCAGTGGCTGGCAGGTGGAGTAATATGGGGATAATGTCTCTCTTGCTGTTTGCTTGTGGTATTGGTTCATTTTTTCAGAAAAGAATTTTGTGACTCTTCAGAGACAAGTAATTTGTTTAGATTCCTTTTGCTTCTGGTGCTCCTGATGAAAGGTCAAAATACAGTATTTTGTACTTTCAAACAAAACTTGCAGTTGTTTGTGTTTTCCACAGCTAAGTAGTATTTAAAGGGGTGTTTATTTTGCCCTGTAGACACACAAAGAGAGAGGAAATCTACCTCTTCAAAGTGAGGTGACATGTGTCTGGATTCCCTGCATTCTCTGTAGCTGGCAGAAAGAGAGTGAGGCACCTTTGCAAGGTGACTTAATCCCCTGAAAATCCAAGTCTGCATAGTGGCACAAGATTACATCATCTGGGCAAAACCTGGGCCACCCTGTCTTGTGCAGTGATACTGGGTTGGATGTTTTCACAACTTGGTATACCTAGTCCTGTAGGCAAGAGTTTAACCATAAGTGCCTGGTTTCAGTTGTGGCAGCAGGTGCTTATGGTTTGTATTATCAGAGGATGAATGATGAGAATTATCATAATTTCAAGTAAAGTGAATAGATGGTTAATTTATGACAGGCTTTCTTTAGTGGTTTAGATTTCCCCAATCAGATCTGGAATGACTGAACTCTGCTGGCTGTGTTCTCTGTAGGGTCACACCAAGATCAATGCCTTCAACTGGGCTAAGGTTCGGAAGCTGAGCTTCAAGAGGAAACGTTTTCTTATCAAACTACGGCCTGATGTGAATGTAAGTCCTTGTCAGGAATTGATGAAGTTGGCCACAGGTTATTTGGTAAATTTCTGCTCACAGATCACACATGGGGTTTTATCACCTCAAGAATATATTTTTGCTTATTGTTTATTAATCGGTTGCTTATGTTCACTGTTGATGCTGTGCACATCAGCCTGGCATCTCAGGTGAGCAGTCCTAGCAAAAGAAATGTAAACTGAATCAATCATAATAGAATGTCCCAGAGTCATCTTCTGGCTGTGACTCTCGTACTGTATCATCAATTCTTAAGTCATTGCATGTAAACAACTTCTTCTCATTAATGTTCAAGCCACTGCTTTATCTCTGTCATATTTGTCAGCGGAAGGAAGTTTGAGCAATAGCTTTGATACTGACAGGCAGATCAATGATGTCTCAAAGTGGGAAGGATAGGGCCTGTTAAAACTGAAAGCCATTAAGTTGGGAAAAAGCCTTTTTTTATTGTTGCTTGCCTGCTTACATTGCAAATGCTATCCCAATTTTCAGAGTTCATTCCAGGACACCCTGGAATTCCTTATGGCCAGTCGAGATTTTTGCAAGTCTTTCTGGAAGATCTGTGTGGAGCATCATGCCTTTTTCAGGCTCTTTGAGGAACCTAAACCAAAGCCTAAGCCTGTTCTTTTTTCTAGAGGTTCTTCATTTAGGTTCAGGTAAGACCTGCACTCTTTGAATCCTCTGCTTCTTGGATGGGATATTTGCTATGTATCAGAGTAGAGATTTGTGTTTTCATTGTATTTCCCCATGATAAGCCCATCTCTATGCAGTTAAAAGCAATGGCTTGTTTTTATGCTGAGACCTTTATGCTTGCAAAGGATTTATGTGAGATGACCACCTATGTTAAAACCAAGTCTACCTGCAATATTGTTAGAGCTGTGGAAGTGTTTAATAGTTAAGTCACTGGGTTTGATATTTTTTTCCTTGCACTGACAGAAGCATCATTGTAACTGTTTTATTTGTATGCTGAGGGGGAAATCTTTTTATTCATACAGTTTATTTTGTTTGCAAAGCTGATAAAAGCTGAACAGCCAGAAATGCTCTTTGCTGAGATAAATGGTGCACTCTAGATGCTATGCACAAGAACATAGTATATATAGCCATTCCAACTCTCTTCCCACTTTGTTTGCTGCCTGCAAAGTAAATTAATTAAGATGGAAGGACCTATGTTGGGTAAACAAGCTATAACTTGCTAAGTTTCTGCCTGAATAAATAGAAAACTGTAGGCACATTCAACTCGCCTCCTGGTTTGGAAAGCAGGTTTTGGCTACAACCTCCACTCACTGTGATCTGTGCTACTACATTTAGTAACTTTTTTCAGGCCTTGAAAGCCTCTAATGAATTGGAATGATTTGGTTCTCTGTTGACTGCTCTTGAGGTGTGGGTTTCCTGTACCACTCTGTTTGCTTTGGAGTTCATAACTTTGCACAATAGACAGTGCTGGGCTTTCTCACTACTTCTTCACACCCTGTAGCAGCAGAAGGGGAGAAAGTGATTTCCAGCCTAAATCTCTGCAGAAAAGGTGTGTTCTGTAGTAGCAACTGAGTCGTGAAATGCATTTCAGGGATTTTCATTTTGGTTCCAGGGTTTACTGATACCAGATAAGGCTGGTATTTGACTAAAAAGGATTCAAGAATAGTTTTGTTCATGAGAGGAAAACTTAACCCCTGCTTCACTTTCCACTGTGGTGACTTCCCAGTAATGTACTACCCTACAGAGGGCACACAACTGAATATAAACAGATTTGAAATGACATCAAAAAGTAGTCCCATAGCAAAAAAAAGAGGCAAGTGACATGCAAAATGTTATAAATCTGTGTGTATCTGACCAGGTCCCCTTTTTTATGATCTTAACGTGAGTTTCTGCCGATAGTGACAAATACTCTTCTGGCTGCTGTGACTGCATGTGTGGGCCACACACATGTTTATGATGACTAGGTGGCATATTGTATTAAATATTTTAACTATGGTTTTCTTCCAGTGGTCGGACTCAGAAGCAAGTTCTTGACTATGTTAAGGAAGGAGGGCACAAGAAAGTGCAGTTTGAAAGGTGAGAGGAAATAAATGACCTATCCCAATCTGTTTTAATCAAAGAAAAGTCATGATTTCCAGTTAGTTATATTCTGAGATCTTTGCACCAGTCTAAGTGAAAAAATCCTTCTTTGTTGGTTTGATAGTTTGTCACATGTAATATCCCTGTGGTCCAGAGTGTTTTGGCAGTTTCAGAACTTACAGTTTACTTAAAATCAATAGTCTTCAATCTGTTTTTCAGCAATGGGTGTCCTACTGTCACAGGTAACTTTCTCTTGATTTGATTTGCACCCTCTTTGGTGGGATGTGGTTAATGTACGTGAACATATATATTCAGCTCAGAATAATACTGAAAGTAACAGGAATAAGTATAGCCAACCTCAAGGGAGAGGTCTCCAGGGAAAGCTTCCAACTTGCTTGAGCTAGTTCTGTCTGAACTCATCTTGCTCATGGTGAGCTGAAAATAATGGCCAAAATGCCACAAAGACCATGACAACAGTTCATTGCTTATGATCCATGCTTAAGTGATAGACCATGTTTGCTTCAGTGCCTCTCCCTTTCCTTACAATGGTAAGATTTGTTCTTACAAAAACTTAACACAGTTCATGGAAATTTTACGGAAAGGAGGAATGTTAATCTGTTTTGGAGCAAACTTTTATGAAAGCCTGCTATTTGAGGGTGTTGTTTTAAAAGAGGCATGTCTCTTGTTTCCTGTTTGTAGGAAAAAAACTGAAAGAGCTTCTTATATGATTTTCCTTTTATCTCCAGGAAACACAGCAAGATTCATTCCATCAGGAGTCTGACTGCACAGCCTTCAGAACAGCACACAGAGGTGCCAAAACAAGTCAGTGATGTTGATGAAACCCTGGATCATTCCTTTTAAACATTTCTTGTTAGATTACCCTCCACTGATTGCTGTTTCGAAACCCTAGGAGCATAGTTTTCTGCTCATTTACCATTTAACTGGGAGCTAAGGAGCTCTGGGTATCATGAGCTTTGGGTTCTGCGGAGTGAAACAACATTGCTTACAACCAGGCAAATATAAATAATGAGCCTGTCCGAGCTGTGCTAATGACCATCTGAAAAATTGCTATCCACAGTGTTACTGCTGAGGTCCTAGGTTGTAGCTGGCTGTTGCATCTGGGGTAGTGTCATTATTTTCCTTCACTGGGAGGTCTTGTTTGCACATTTCAAGGTGTTAGGTTGTATTAACCAGGGAGGAAAACAGTTATTTCCTCAGAAAAATTGCAGCTCTGGACTTGTAATCCATTATCTCTGATATATACCTTACATATTTTTCTTATGTTAATAGCTGTTGCATGTTAGGAGTTTGCAAATCCAATAGCCCAGTAGTGGTGAGGCTGCAGCAGCTGCGTGTTGCCAGGTCTGGCTAGTAGTAAGGCTGAGCTTATATTCACTATAGGCACCCACATGAATGCACACATACAGTACATATACACATTGCCGCACACAAACAGAAAACAGCACTCCTGCAAGCACAAACAGTGCCAGTGGCCTCACCCTGTTCCACTCTTTGGCTTATTGGGATGAAAGTTCATGAGTGGAAAATATGTACACATATATATGATACAGATCCCTCCTGCAACTGGTGTTAGACAGTATCCAGTAGCAAGCCCTTGGATCCTCAGGTCTCCCAGGGTCTGGTACCTGCACATAAGAGCAGCCAAGGCTTACAGCTCCACTCGAGTTCCTGGCACTCAGGTCTGCAGGCACACACGTGCACACGCATGCTATAGGTTTGTCCAGTAATTGATCTTAGACACTCTATCCAGTAACTGACACTCAGATCCTCTGGTTCCTGGTTATTACCTCAGGCAGAGAGACACACGTGTGCAAAGATGTCTCTCCAGTATTTGGTACAGATTTGGAGTGTTGTCAGTAGTTGACCCTCAGGCCTCACAGTCTTTTCCAGTTTCTGGCCTGACTTATGGCTGCTCCAGTACTTGACTCCCAGCTCTCTTATTCTACTCACCACCTAGTTCAGCTTAATGTTTGCTAGCAATTACACACTGACCTACCTACCCAGCCAATATGCACATGCTCTGGTCTCTCCAGTTGCTGGCATCCCAAACACACCCAGACCATGGGCTGATGGCTCTCCCTGAACAGCCTCCAGAGGAGCCAGGTCAGGAAACTCAAATACCCCTTTTTACATTATCACTGCATTCTGTCTGCCTTCTCTTCCCTTGCTTAGCTTATGCATTTTTTCTGTTCTTCAAGATCAGAAACCTCTTTATTTAATTCTAATTAATTTTGAAGCTTGGATTACCTCTTCTGTTTTCAAGAGACAGGATTTCCTATGTTGCTGCAGATGCAGTGCAAAATTCTGGTGCATAATTACACGCAGCCTTTTCCCTCTGGCTCCCATCCTTCCCAAACCTTCCACCCCTCCCTCCCCCTTTGTCTCCCCTTTGCCTTTCCTCTATTATCTTTCCAGAGCACTAGAGCCCATGGAGACGACAATGATGCTGCAGCAGTGCAGAGCTGCCGGCAAGGAAAGGAATCGAAGGCTTCAGCAGAAGACACTGGACAGCACAAGAGCCCTTCCTTGAAGAAGAGTCCAAAGGAAGGCAGAAAGGTGGATGGAGCAGTGGTGTCAACAGTGGAGGAAGAAGAGGAACCCGCTAAGGACAGGATGCAGCAGAACAGACCTCAATCACAGCAACCAAGCACAGGTCCAGCTTCCAGGGCTGCTCATGGCAGCAGCACCTCCATTCCTTTCATTGACTGCAGTGATGTAGATAGCGAGTATGATCTCCTCAGAGGACAAATAACCCGGTCATATTCCCAAACAAATGACAATTATGAGGGTGATTTGACCAGTGGTGCCTATATTCACTACAGAGATGAAAATCGCAATAGAACTAGATATAGGGATTCCTCAGCTTCTCTAAAGTCTTCCCAGTATCTCTCTGAAGAGTACCTTGATGATAACACAGCTAATCTCTCCTTCTACACTGGAGGAAGCCCCAGGATGCCGAGGCATAGCTCTCTGGTCGATGAAATGTTTAAAGGGCCAGGGAGCCGTAGTCCCCTGGCAACTCCATTGCCTCCCAGTAGTAAAGGGTCAAGCCCTAACATGAGCCTGAGTAGAACTGGCTCTCAGGGTTATGTCTCAGAAAATGGACATGACTGCAGGGTGAGGACTGGGGAGGAGGATAGCCATGCCAGTAACTGCCATGGGTATTGCAGATATTCTCCAGGTTCTCAGCGGTCTCGTGCACAGAAAGGCCAAAATATCTGCAATAAATCAGTTACGGATCCGTTCATCCTAAGCCAGATATCCTCAACCCCTGGGCAGGAGTATAGATCAGAGAGGTATTGTAAAGGAGGTGGGCTGGGTAAGATGTCTTCTCCAGAAGGCAAAATGATGGCCAATGGTATGCCAGCTGGGGCACAGTCAAAGCAGAGCCCAGTCATGCAGTCACTACGTGCCAGTGGCATGATGGATCACATGGCTACAATCCAGATGATGGAGGGCTCCACCAGCAGTGGGACAGAATCTAGTGATTCTGACTCAGAAGTCATTAACCCCTTCACTCACCCCCTGGTGTTTGGAAATCCCATTGTGCTGAGTTCCTCTCCTATGCCTAGAAATAAGTACTCCTTTGGAAGCCTTCAGCTTGATGAGGAGGTAGAGGAGGATGTGTCTGTGGGCCTCAGTGATGAAGATGGTGTGCAGGTCTTCAGCTGTTAGGGCCCAGGGTGTATGAGACCAGTGGATACCGTGATTGATCGATCATTAGGGTGGTTTTATCTTCTGGGGCTCGTGATGAGTGGCTGGTGATAATTTCAGTGCACGGGCTATTTCAAACAATACGTTGTACAGACCAGCCAGAGGGAAAATAATAGGTCTCAGTGATGCTTAACAGTATGCGTCTCCTCTGAAAAGCAGGAGGAGAGGAAAACTATTACTGATTTAGGTACCTTTTTAAGACTTTATACACTCACCTATTCTTTGTATGAAGTCATATTTTAGGTATATGTTGTAGCTTCTTTGACACTTGACTAGTTATTTTGACAAAACAAAGAAAAATGAAGTAGGTATGTTGTGGTCTTTTGTATGTCTATTACAATCTTTCTTCTCTCCCATATAAGGAGAGCAACTTATGAGTGCCTCAACAGAGTTAGGAGAAAAAGAATTAAACTCGCAGCCAAATGCAGGCAGCTTGATATTCAAGACCAAGACTTGTTGAAATCTTGAAATAGGCTGGAAAATCTTTTCATAGCAAGAATGTGTTTGGTCTACTCATCTTCATAACCCATTTTATAATCTTAACTGATGAACTGAGGATACAAATTAGGCATACATACAGAAACAATGATGGTATTGGCTTTTACTTCAGTGGGTTCAACAGGCTGATTTGGTGGTTTTGAAACTCCAAACTCTTCCTTGGGCAAGAAAGAGAACAAGATGAAAGATATAATTCAAGTGAAAAGAACTTGGATTGAAGCAGATCTAATGAAGAGTGGTATGAGTATTGCTTGCAAGGCAATAGTTTCTGTAGTTTATCAGTGTGGTATAAAAATTAATTGCAAAAAGATTTTTTTTCCCTTTCTTTCAGTGGAATTATTTGGAGACATCAGTTCTCTTCTGGGTGCTTTTTGGTGGGTGGTTTGGAGATGGTGGCTGTTTAATTTTCTTTTTTTTTGCTTTGATCATGAAAAATCTTTATCTGTACAGGGTCCAATTAGTCTGTCATAGGCTATATTTTTAATAGTGCCACTTCATAATTTTTTCATTCCCTGACACAGGGAATGATGAAACTAACTGTGGTCCAGGCCGATTGTCTTCTGTACTATACATAGAGTAGCGAGATTTTGACACATGCAGAAGGACAGAGAGACTAATTCTGTGTATGTTTCCTTTTCACAAGCTAAAAGTATTGAGGATTAAGGCTGTATCCTAATAAAATCTGATTTTAGTTTCTCCAAGTTAATTAAGAAAATCAAGTGAAAAGTCTCCTGTATGGATAGTGTCCTACAGTTATTAGAGCTGGGAGACAAGATGTGCCCTTTATGACTGGCCTTAATTTCAGCTTTTATTTATTTTTCTTGTGGAAGAATGGAACTAAATCTGAGAATTTTAAGTGGAACAACAGCATTGACTGAACTGCAGGTCACTTCCATGAGTCTGCATCATGCAGTACATGCATTCAGCAATGATGAATCCATTCACATAAGTACTGATGGACAAGTTACAGGACTTTGTAAATCTAGACAATGTAAAATTTTCAAGCTTGTTTTTACAAAAATAACTAAAAAAGAAATCTTTTTAATTTTTTAATGCCTTGGTCTATGCACACTTTAATAGAGTTTAGTCTGACTGAAGGATATTAAAAAAGAAACCTACAGTAGTTAGGCATGTGTTGTTATATGCTTTACTTTTTTGCAAGTAAAATACATATTTGTGTAAGTATAAGTTTTAACCCACTCATCTCCTTTAGGTGTTGGTTTTCTTAGAGATTAGATACCTCATTTTTGAACAGGAATCATTTACAGCATCTCTTTAGACACTGATATTTTGGTGACAGGGTATGCTTTCGTTTGTTCCTGTAGTTTAGAGCATGAGTCTAGAAACAGCGAGATTGATAATTAGGGAAAAGCTTGCTTGTATATTATTCTAAAAGAAGGTGGTTTGTGTTTTGGATTTAGAATAGCTGTAAAATAATTGCCTTGAACTTCTCTATATATAAGATGAAATATAAGTAGTTGAAGCCCATGTCAGCAGGTAGCGTGAGCATGGAGAAGTGGGTGCATGAATTTCCTTTTGGTAATTTTTTTCTGCCTGAGCAGTAAAAGTACCAGTAGTTATATTATAAAGTAATAGCAATCTGGAGAGATGAATTAATAGCTTCATTAGCCAGTAAAATTAGAGTTCAAGTAATGGATTTTTGACAAAGGGATTTGCAGTTATTTCTGTTACCCAAGAAAAGTGAATAGATTTTGTATTCTTTGGATTTAAGTGAATATATAGTTTTATAAGTGGTGTTTACTATTTTGCATCCTTTCAGATACTGTTTTCAGGCCTGATTTCTTCCCTCATATGCCTACAAAGATAATGAATTTATAACTTTATAAGAACAGACCTGCTGGTAGCTGGAGTTAGCCCAGTTGCTAATAAAGTATCTGAACAGCTTTTCTTTTCCTGTTTGAATATTATCCTCAAAATTGCAATATGAGGATTTTTCTCTGACTGTTTTCTGTCATCTGGCATTTTTCAGCTTTAAATGTTTAATTAGTTGTCATTTTAACACATGTGGAATTCTTCCAGTTAGAAGAAATAAAGTTTGTAAATTACATAGGAAATAATTTCCTTTGGGATTAATCACTTCTGCAGCATTCTAATGCCACCAAAGCTCCGTTTCATATCAGTAGACAAGCATTTAATTAAAAACAGTCTCTGGGCCAAATTCCTCCGCCAGACATGTGGTTTGCATCTGAGCACTTGCCAAGAATGGTTAAGTGAGAAAGCAGTCTTAAATTGATGTTTTCACATAGGATCAGGTCCTGTAGGATTCATCTGGGAATTTGTTTCTGTGGGACAAATACAGAAGGACCTTGCAGAAAAGAACAGAAACCTTTGGGGCAAAACTGCAAATGAGATGAGATGAGATGGAGGAATTCTTGTTCTGGCTCACAAAGCACACATGGTAAGAGAAGCCTGTCAGCTCTAGTTGTCATTGATTAATCTGCATACACTGGTCCAGAGCAGTGATGTAAGCATACCTGTGTTTCAAGTCTAACAGAGGTAGTTATAGACAAAGGAAGAGACTTGATTCTCCCACCAGTTCCATTAGATTCTGGAATGTGACTGATGGTGCTTTTGATTCACTGTTCTAAAATTTTTATTCTCAATAATTAACATTCAATCCCATACTCGTCAAGTGCCCAGATATCCTTAGGCAGTTGCTACAAATGAGGCAGCTGAATTCCAGTGAGATCGAGCAGCTATGTCTGCTCTGAATTGAATAGTCCTGAGTCTCCTTTCTTTCCAGAGGATGTGGAGGAAACCTCTTCTCAGGTTGTCCAGGCAGTTTATCACAGAGTTGCTGAATCAACTCTGTCCATGTAGCTGGATGACTATGGAGACTAGTTGCAAAAGCAGTTTAGGGGTTTGTCCCAAAGTAATGTGCAGATCTAGGTAATCTGTGGATAACAGGCACTCTGATTCATTCTTTGCTATTCCAGCTACTTGATCACATTCAGTTATCCTCTACGATGAGAGTAGGAAGGTCATGTCAGAAAATTTTAAGTTTTTTCCTACTCAGCAGCAGCTCAAACTTGCAGTGTCCTCTTGGGATTTTGTCCTGGAGGGGTTTTTTTTCATGTCAGCCTTTCCCAGAATCTACTTTTCCTCTGTGACCTGAGATATTAAACTTGGGAATAAATAGATGAAGGAAACATGGAGAGTGGCAAATTGATGTAGGAGCCAAGAACTACATAGGATATTGCAGATATGGAGTTTCAAATAATTGATATCTGAAGGGCCTGGACTGCACTGTTCTTGGTTTAAGTCCATATTCCCTAGCAAAGCTGTTCCTTGTCCATGACAATGGGGGTGTTCTCTGAAGATGATTTGTGCCTAGTGCTGCCATCTTCTCAAATCACCCATAGCTCACAGGCCTCCCTAACAGGCACCATCCCACTTACCCTTGTAGTGCCTACTAAATAC